TGACAAATGCTGGCAAGAACGGGGTGTAGAGAAACAGGAACTCATACACTGTTGGTGAACACATAGGTCAGCACAACCATAATGGAAACCAGTGTGGCTACTCCTTAAAAATGGAAATGGAGCCAGAACGACGGTTCAGTGAGCAAGAGTGCAAGCCTAAGGGTGAGAGTTTGGATCCTAATGATCACACAACAAACCCAACATGATCTCGCTCACCCTGTGACCCCAGCAATGAGAGGGATGTGGACAGGACTGCCGTGGCTCACCAGCCACCAGCAAATGTAGCTCTAGGTTAAGAGGGAGAGCCTGACTCAAAATAGCTCCATAGAGAGTGATAGAGGAAGAAAAGCAAATGCCCCTTTAGCTTCTGTGTGCACACAGGCATGTGACCTCCACACACACATGCACACACCTCATATACATACATCACACTCACACGCATGCCCAGTCTGAAAAGACAGCTACCCTGTAACCCAGCAACCCCACTGCTGGCACACGGCAATTGCAATTCATTAAACAGTATACAGCCAAAACAAACAAAATAATTACATCAGAGGCATTTGCACTCCCAGCATTCTTATTTACCACAACACTCTTCGCAACATCCAAGATATAAAATCAAGGGAGGTATCCACTGACTGTGGAGTATATAAAGAAAATGTGGAATAAACAATACATGATGGAGTGTTACTCATCCACAAAAAGGGCTACGTGTTTTTATTTGCAGCCAGTTTGATAGAACCAGAGGTCATTGTGTTAAATGAAGTAAGCCGGGCACAGGAAGTCAAGGTGCAGGATGTTCTTACTCGTTTTCAGAAACAGAAGCTGCTCTCGTAGGACAGCAAAGGAGAAGAGAGATCACTGGAGGCTGGGAAGGGCCAGGAGAGGAGGTCAGAGAGCTTTCCAACACGGTCATTAAAACACAGAGGGAGGAACTGCTTCACTGTTGGTCACAACCAACTAGGATGCACTTTATTTTAATTCTTTTAATTTTAGGTATTATTATGTGTGTATGAATGCATGATTGTGTGTGTGAGTGCAAGCACACACATGTCATGGTGTGTGTACGGAGGTCAGAGAACAACCTTCAGGACTCCGTTGTCTCCTCCCACCGAGGGTTCCAGGGACTGAAGTGTGTGATCAGGCTTGTGTAGTGGGGCTTTGACCCACTGAACCCTGTCATCAGCATGATAGATTTCAAAATGACTAGAAAAAGACAAAATTGCCCAACACACAGAAAGAATTAATGTTTGAAGAGAGGGAAATGTGCATTACTCTGATTTGATCATTGGATATTGTATATGCTCATAGCTTTATCATGTGATATGTGCCATAACATATGTATTCATAACAATATCAAAAATCAGCAATGAAAAATAAATAGAATAAAATTCACCCAACCTGCATTGTTCTAGGCCACATAAAAAATGAGTACATCCTTCCCTCCACATCTGCGGGCTTTTTATGGGTAAACTCAATTAATTTTTTTAAATGTAATTGTATAGAGCAAGTAAGATATTTTTCTTCAGTGTTCCCAACACGATTCTGTATAGTAATAGCATTCAATATTACAAATAATATAGAAATGATTTAAGGTGCACAAGAGGGTGCTCGTACATTATCCACAGATCCTGTGCTCATTTATGAAAGGGACTTGAGCATCTACAAGTTTTGTTATGTGAGGTCTTGAAAAAAACCACTCGTGGTCAAGGGGTGACTATATACACTATATTGTAGCCTTTCTGTTGTTCTTTAAATATAATAGTACACTATATTGTAGCCTTTCTGTTGTTCTTTAAATATAATAGTATATCCTGGAATCTCTTACATTAATATTATTTTTTAAAAGGTTTGCTGACTTCCATCCACAGAAAGTTACAGGGCTTCCTCTGTGGTTTTACTTCTGGCTACAACATCTTTGATAAATTATCATTTAAAAAATTTTATTTCAGCTACTATTGTGTGAGAACCCATGAGTGTCTATGTACACATGTATAATCTTTTACTGCTGCCTGTGATAGTTTCCCCATGTGCAGATAGTGAAATAACATTAAAAGTAAGAATTCAATTTAACAACAGTGACAAAGGTTGGCATCTTTCAGGTTGCACAGACCAGGCCAGGTAGAACATGGAGTGCCTGGGGGCTGAAGGTAAGCTTTAAGGACGTTTAAGCAAATTGAGTGCGAAGCAACAGGCAGAACCCACATTATATACTGAGGAGGAAGACTCTGAATCACAGGACAACAGCCAAGCGGCTAGAGCTGCATTGCGCGTTTCTCCGGATCAGAGTGCATCTCGCTAGTGATGACTATGAGGGCAGGGCTGTCAAGGCCTGAATTTTTGCCACTTTGCTAAATAAAACATGGATTTTTTGTGTGTGTTTTAAATGTGCATTCTTTTAGTTTGAGTGAGACTGAACATAATTTCATACATTTGAGAGAAATTTACTGACTATCGTATAAGCCGCTGGGTGATGATGTCAGCCTGTTTTCCCATGGGGCTATTGTTCTTCTCGGCTGAATTCTTAAGAGCCTTGTGTTGAGGAACTTCCTGGAAATTTGGATATTAAAAATACTTCCTCAAGTTTTATTTGTTTTATTATTTCAGTTCTGCTTATACTTTTTTCCTCCTTATTGACATGTAAATGTCTTAACACCTATTTCGTCGTGCTTGTTGTGACTCCGGACTGTATCCACATTTGTGAACGCTATGCTCCTTGGTAGTTTACAAAGAAATCCATCCGTTTTATTCTATTATTTTGATGTTTTATTTTTGACACATTTCTGAATCTACTTGCAGTTTATCTTGGTATGTGATGTGTCGGATGGGTTCAATTTTATTTTTTCACTACTGGCTATCCAGTTGTTTCAACATCAATTACTTAAACACTCATTTTTCCCTCTGCTGATTAGAGCTGTTTTTTGTTATTTATCAAATTTCTATATTTCCAAATTCAACCCTTCGGCTCTACATTCTACTTCTGCAGCGTTTGTTTGTACATTCAATGAACTGTTCGCTCTTGGGTGACATTCTTCCACTAAATGCTACTTACTAAATGCTAATTACAGACTAGGGAAGCAGCTCAGTGCCTTGCAAGGATGAGGATCTGGTGAGGATCTGAGTTTGATGCCTAGAACCCACTTTTGAAAAGGCAGGCACAGTGCATACATTTGTAATCCCAACGCTGGGAATACAGAGACAGGCAGCTTTCTGGGCCTCACCGGCCAGCCAGCCCAGGTGAATTGGCAACTTCCAGGTCAATGAGAGACTGTCCCAAAAAATATCCCAAGTGAGTGGACCCTGAGAAATGACACCTGAAGTTGACCTCTAACCCCCATACACATGTGCATATGTGTTTGTACACATGCAAAATTGTTAATTCTATTTTAAATATTTATTTTATTCTTATTTAGGTGTGTGTCTCTCTGTGTGTGTGTGTGTGTGCGTGTGTGTGTGTGAGTGTGTGAGTGTGTGTGAGTGTGTGAGTGTGTGTGAGTGTGTGTGTGTGTGTGTGTGTGTGAGTGCACGCAGCCATGCAGGTGCCTTTCGAGGTCAGAAGAGGATCTACTGTAGCAGGAGGTGCAGACAGTCATGAGCCATACAGTGTGGGCCCTAGGAACCAAACTCTGGCCTTTTTTAGGGGCAGCCAACACTTTCAACTGCTGAGCCATCTCTTCAGTACCCCAAATACTAATTATCTTTCACTTCATTTTTTTTAACTTTTCTATTCTTTCATTATATCCCCCATATTAATTAATATAAATTAATATAAATAGAATATTCCTGGCTGATACTAGGACCCCGTGGTTCCTTTGCCTTTCTGTTCTGTCAACCCTCATGAGTGGCGTTCAACATCAAGTTTGCTTTATGGCTCAAGGCTGATACTAGGAGATCTAGTTATCCAAATAAATTCTGAGCAAGAAGGAGCAGAAGACAATGTTCTTAAGATGTAGCTCAAATCTCTCACCTTTATTGTATTAGCCAGGCACATATCTCTGAGAGACAGGGAAGTTGTTGTATGGACTCTTTTCCTATGAGCATAACAAGATGCCATCTTGGACTTTCTTGTGGCCATGGCAACCAAAGCAGAACAAGACAGTGGTACCAGGTCTACGGCAATGATAACAGCAATAAAGCTATTGAGCCTCATATTGAAGATTTGGAGACCCTCGCCCAGTAATCCAGTGATTATTCCCTCCCCCAAGTGCAAGTGATCTTGGGAGATGCTGGAGTATAGAAGGAAAAGGTTGATTAAAGATGGGACTCTATGATACAGCTCCTATGAGGCTGTCATCCGTGGTGGGGTGAGATCTGGCAGAGATGAAGTTGTTTGGTGGGGTCATATACTCATGGAAGTGTGATGTCATCCATGCTCTGTACACAAGTCCAATAAACCCATCGATCTCACCAAGTTGTACTTTGGTGAAATTGTACTTTAGTCTACCTCTGGGGATTCGGCATCAACAACAGAAGTGTACCAGGTACTGAGGGTCCCTATGCTGTGGCAGGGCATAAGATTGCTCCCAGGGTTCTAAAGTAGGAAAAAACAAGTTGCATTCTTTGCCATGCTCCTCCCAGACAGATTGCAAATGATTTAAAAGCAGAGATATTCTGTGAAATTCCATGACCCATGAGACCTATTACAGTGTGTGTGAAGGCAGTGGAGTACCCACAATAAACATTCACTAACTTGATTACTTTTATCTTTCCTTTAAATTACATGTTTAAACATAGGACACTTAATTTAATTTGAGCGTTGCGTTGTGTCTCCCATAAAATACATCATTTGCTTTAATGTTCGATTCAAGCTTTGGACATAATGTACTAACACATTTGGCTTGGCCTCTTGTACTCCTTCTACCATATCTTATAGCCTCATTTAAATAATCTCATGCACATATTTTAGAGTAAAAATACACACACACACACATCTTGCTTTCCAGACCAGGAAGCTGTAAGAATCCTAATTTAATATTAAGTACAAGTATCCAAGACAAGTGTTGTTATTTAACAAATAAGATGTATTATCATTCGCAAATATTTTGAATAATTAAGTACACAGCTTAGAAATTCATTTAAAAATACTAAGATTCTCTAACCAGACGAGTAGTATATTCCTTAAAAACTCAGCATATTGGAGCCCTGGAGACGGCACAGCGGTTTTAGCTCTTGGCAAGCATGGAGACTGGAGTTTGGATCCCCAGAACCCAAGTAAATTCAGGGTGGGCATGGTGGCCAACCTGCAATTCCAGCTTCAGAAGGTGGAAACCGGTGCCCTAAAACAAGGTGGCTAGGGAGGCTCGAGGTTTGATATAGAGCCTCAAAGAGTGGGAGAGGGATAAAGGCAGTCCTGTCACTAAGGAAGATGAGAAAAATGAATGCTGGTTTAGCTTGCTTTTCCCTTTCCACTCTTCCTCAGCCTGGGATTGCAGATGATGTCCACATCCACGTAGGCCTTCCATTCTCAGATCAGCCTCTCCGGAAAGACCCTCACACACAAGTCATGAAGTGTGTCTCTTAGGTGATGCTGAATCCTGTAAATGGACCGTGAAGATTAACCACTATGGTCACTTTGATTAATAACCTTAATTTTCTGTTAATAGTTATCCATTAAAAGCTACATACAGGGCTGAAAGATGGCTCAGCAGTTAATAACACTTGCTGCTCTTACAGGGGACCTAAATTTGGTTATCAGCACCCAAGTTAAGTGGCTCACAACCACCTGTGCCAACAAACTCCAGGACATTGATGCTGTCTTCTGGCTTCCATGGGCACTCACATACATGTGCACACTCATGCCACACACATAAATAAACATTAAAGATTAAATATTTAAAATATATGAGTAGGTTTATAATTTCATATAGATAAATTGGCTTATTAAGTGATTATGAGACTGGTTTATTTGTCATCTTTTGACAAGTATAAATAAAAGAAGTTTTAATTCTCTTGCTTTTGGGGGGTGGGTTTCAAGACAGGGTTTCTCTGTGTATAGCCCTAACTGTACTGGAACTAGTTCTGTAGATCAGGCTGGCATCATACTCAGAGATCTGCCTGCCTCTGCCTCCCAATGCTAGGATTAAAGGAGTGAGCCACCACTTCCCAGGTTCTTTTGCACCCTTGATTCACTCATCACTATATGTAGGTGTGCACATCACCACAGGAAGGTGTGCACATACATATGCCCGTGTGCACATCACCATATGCAAGTTTTCACATCGCTATATGAAGATATGCACATCCCCATAGGAAGGTGTGCACATCACCATAGGAAGGTGTGCACATCACCATAGGAAGGTGTGCACATCACCATAGGAAGGTGTGCACATCACCATAGGAAGGTGTGCACATCATCATATGCAGGTGTGCACATCACCATATGCATGTGTGTACATCACCATATGCAGGTGTGCACATCACCATATGAAATGTGCACACGCATATGCAGATGGGCACATCACCATATGAAGGTATGTGCACGCATGCAGGTGCACATGTCGTCTTCCATCATGTTCCAGAGCAACTATACTGTGAATGCAGGCCAGAGTGACCCTTAACATTTCATACCATTGTAAATCTCAGTATATCCAGATTACACACTATAAAGTGGTGACATTTTCCTTTCCTGGAATACTTTTTTGGTATTAAAACAACCTCCTTAGATGGTTTGCCTGATTTCCATGTAACTCATAATCTCAGTGAACTCTTCTGTGTCTTCCTCAAGTTATATTAAAAATTTGATGGATCAGGTCAATGATATGGCTCAGGGGTAAAAACACAAGCCTGGTGACCTGAATTTAATTGTTGGGGCCCCGGTGGAAGGAGAGAATTGGCTCACAAAAATTGTCCTCTGACTTCTACTTGTGTGCCCTGGCACATGCGTATAAGCACACACACACACACACACACACACACACATATATAAATGGATGGATGGATGAATGTATTTTTTAGGAAAGAACATGCTGTTTTGTGAACACAGCCACTCTCTGCCTCTCTTCTTCACAGATACTATTAGCTTAGGTATTTCCTCTGCCCAGCAGTTTTCCTGAGATACTGTTTTCTCTTTGAGCCTTTTTCTTCCTTGGCTTGTCCTCGGTTAGGAAGAATGCATTCTTCAATACCTTCCCAAGCAAAGACATATGGAAGATGCAATTTTGAGACTTTTATGTTCTCACATTTGTGATGACAGCATACTGAGTCAGGTGTCTGCTTCCTTGTTTTAAAACCATCTTTGTCTTTTTGGAATTCTGTAACACAGAACCACAGACAAGGTGCCTTTACAGATAACAGCAGTTCATTCCTTACAGTTATGGATGCTGTGAATTCCCAGATCAGGGCAAATTTCATGCCAGGTGAGGGTCCACCATCTCATCCTAGGCTGTGTTCTTGCTGTGCCCTCAATAGCAGAAAGGGGCCCCTTGGAAGTTAGTTTTGGGGCCCCTGTAAAGAACACTACCTCCTTCATGAAGGCCAAACTCTCACCACCAGCTGAGATGCTCAGACTTCTGCTATTCATTAATTGTATGGATGGGGTGGTAAATAAAAAAGTCTATAACTGCATAATTTTAGTTTAAGCATTAGTTTTCCTAGAGAATTCCATCCCTGTCCCTATGACTGATATAGAACTCATTATACTGCCCATTTTGACTTCAAATTCACAATTTTCTTGTCTCAATCTCAAAATGCTGGCATTACAGGTGTTTGACACCCTGCTCAGCTTTCCCCCAACAGAAATTCAAAGGAATTGTTTCATGGGATTTATCAGTGAAAAGTATGAACATTTACACAAAGTAGCCAGGGAAGATGACTTTTCAGTAAGGCCTTGAAGAACATGTGAATACTGGCAGTGAGGGTGATTACTTGTAGGCCAGGCAAAACAAATACAGAGGCAGTGGGGGAGGTGGGGGGCTTTGTACTGGGCCAGCCTAGCAAAACTGTGTCTAGACAGCTGCCTCAAGCGGTCAGTTTTTGCTCAAAAAAAAGTTTCTGAGGCTGATGATATATGGTTACCAAAATTCTGTGGGGCCATCTCTGTCGAGGCAGCAGCCGGGTCCTGTAAGATGTCGCCCTTCAGTTGCTCTGACTGCTCAGCCAGACCCACATCTGCTCCACAGGGACGAGCACAGCTTCTCCTGAAGCCCGAGGCTAGAGTCTGGAGGGATGTCAGACCACTATCTGCTCTGAAGAAAGACCCTGGGCTTCGGTCTGCCATTGATTTCAGCTCCTCATCAAAGGCTCCAGATTATTCCACATCCTCGGCTCTCTGTCCATCTGTCTTTGTAACCTTCCCACCCCGATGACTTTAGAGTTAGCACCATGTGCAACGGCGAAGCCATTGGTAGACTGGAGGGTAGGATGACAACCGCAGGCTCATGAAGCTGGAAACCAGAGCCACACTTCCTGCTCCAGGTCACCACTAGTGAGTGCTTCCGCATCTTAGGTCAAGCCTGACAGTGTGGGAGAACAGACGGAGAAGGAGTAAGGAATCCAACAGAGCCTCAGTGGCGGAATCAAACGGGAGAATGACAGGACCTGTGACGAAAGAGGCAGGCATGATCCAAAGGGTTTGAGACCACAGCTGTGACGTTACTGTCCTCTTGTGGATATGGAAAGTAACTGGCTGGTCACAGCAATGAGGCCTGATCTGATTTACATTGGAGCATTGTAACTCCGGGGGTCATTTAGAGAGTTGGAAAGAGTAGAGGCATGGAGGCTTCTTAAGTGACTTTAAAAGGTAGGATACCATGGTGACAGGAGACATAGATGACTTGCTTCAGGGCAGTGTCATGGAAGTGATGAAGACAATCACTGACGTTTGTACTCCTGAAGAGTCGAACCCATATGCTACATCTATGGCTCAGTTATGTGAGTCTTTTGGCCGTTGTAACCAAGGATGAACTCGCCATTAACATGGAAAGCAGAAAAGAACTTACTTTCAGAGGTATTAAATTAGAGTCTTAGAAAGAGAATTTGGGAAGGCAGCTGGATATACTGCCGTGAAGGCAAAGCTAGAGATCGAACCACGGAGTGGTCGGCTGTGGGTACGTATATCAGGATGCCAGTTTAGATGACCGAGCAAGTGGGTACGGCTAGAAAAGAAAAGCGACCCAAAGGCCTGGAGATTTGAAAGCTATTCACACCGAAAGTTCAGGTAAAGGGCACAAGCCGTCAGTGGAGTAGAAGCAAAGCCAGGAGAGTGTGATGTGCTCAAGCCCAGCACAGGAAAGGTAGCCGTCATATCTGATCTACCAGGTGGTGGACCAAGAGCAGACCGGGCGACGTCTGATTGCTCTGTGGCAGAAAGCCCACCTGATCCTGCTACGGTTCAGGAAGATGCATGGTAACCTTCAAAGCTATGTGAAGATCATGGTGGTATAACGGAAGTTAACCTCATTTCAGCACAGAACCAGCCAGTTTGAAGACTGGGCAGAGACAACAGTGGAGCGGTAACTAGAGAAGGCTGTGGAGTTGGAGCTGAAACTGATGGCGAGGCAGATGGGGATGCTGCGGTAATGTTCTCACAGAGCAGGCTGGTGTGACCTAAAGCCCGGGAGAAGACGGCTCTGCAGGCACAGGTGTAGGAGACTGGCAGAAGTAGCTCACTAGGCTTGTGGGAATTCTCTCTGACGGATTTTGTTTTCTTGGCAATATAGGAAGCTGAGGCTGTGATGGCGAATTTGGAGGATAAAAGCACTGTGAAATTGGGGGCAGCCAGTCAGTGATGTAATTGCCAGGCAGCAGAATGGCCCACCTGAAGTTAATGATCATGAGTTTAAAATAGCACCTGTTGGTAGGACGATTACATTGTTTTTATGTTCAGTTGTACGGATGTGAAAATGGAATGAAAAGAACATGGAAAAGGTTATAATTTCCCTTAGAAGAGACAACAAAGTGTAAGGGGACACAGATGCAAAGGTTATATCCAAGGGAATAATTAGATTCTTGAGCATTGAGTTTAAACTGGAGAATGCAGGGGAGACCACAAGGAAGGCGAGGAGCCAAGGAAAGATGCTGAGGTCAGGGACTTTCACTTTGCTTCTGATGGTCCCTGCATCCCCAGATGACCCTGGGAGTCTCTTCTTCTCCCACGTGTTATTAGAGGCTTTTTGTCTTTCAACGGGTGCCCTTTCATACCAAGAAGTTTAGTCGAATTGTGTCTTTGCTAGCACACACATGCACATTTGCATACACATGTGTACGCATACACGCACATAACATGTATATGCTTACGTGCATGTATCATAACATACTACTAATAAATAAAATTTAAAATAACAAATAAAATTAAAAATCAGAGACAAATTTTAAAGAGGAAGAATGACGTTATTCGTTACCTTTCTGTTTTCCAAAGCTTACAGTTCATGATGGAAGGGAAGGTGAACGGCGAGAGTCAATCTAGCATGGGGCGGCTGTTCACATAGCATCGATAATATGTATGTACCATGGCCTATGGGTGGAGGTCAGATGACAGTTCTGTGGAACTGGGTTTTCTCCTTCCTCCTTTACTTGGTTTCAGGGACTGAACTCAGGTTGTGACCAAACTTAAGTCTCAGGCTAACACTTTGCTGAGCCATCTTGCCCACCCCTCCCCCATTTTAAATTATGCCTGTCATTGCGCACCTAACAGATGCACTCTTTAACTGAGTCCTGCCTGTCTGTCTTTAAAAGAATTTCAAGAATTTTCCATTTAAAAATAAACAAGTGACTCTTCCTTCCCTCTTCACCTAAGCCACCCCTTCCCACGAAATCTGCGGACACTCGGTCTGTTCCGACCTCACCTCTGTCTGAACGCTGCTCTTGCTCGAGTTCGCCCGTGCTCGGGATACTTTACCTTCTTCACACAACGATTCTCAGCTCCTCATTTCTGAACACGCTTGGCTTCTGTGACACAGCACTCAGTTTTTACATTAACTGTCCATTTTTTTCTCGTGAATCCTCTCTCGTCTTAAAGGCTCATATATCTTTTACAGTAATAGCCAAACCCGGGATCTTGCACCTGCTAAGGAAGTTCTCTGGCACTGAGCTACACCCCAGCTAAAACAGCTGATCTTTAAGTGATAGACTTCTTTTATTTTAAAGATCGTTTTTAAATTATGTGTACACATGTGGATACCATGTGTAGGAGTAAGCGCAGGTGTCTGCAGAGTCCTGAAGGGCCTCAGGTCCCTGGGAGCTACTTAACCCAGTCCCTCGGCAAGAGCAGCATCTGCTGAGCCCTCTGGCTCCCAGATGACAACTTTTTCTTCCTTATTCCTCTGCTTCTCCTCCTCTTCCTTTTCTTCTAATTTGTTTTTAATGTTAGGGCCTTAGTTTCTTTTCTTGTTGCTGTCATACAGAATCTTGAAGGAGGAGAAACAATGAAAAAGAATGGGGTTGTTTGGGCTCAGAGTTTAAGGATCCAGTCCATCAAGGTAGGGAAATCAAGACAGTAGGGTTTTGAAGCAGCCGGTCATGTCACATCCACAACCAGGAAGCAGAGAGTGGAGAAGGAAAGGAGCAGCAGGCTGTCTTCCCGCCTGGATCCCGGCTCCCTGGCTAGTTTACACCCGAAATAATTACACGGAAACTGTATTCATTTAAACACTGCCTGGCCCATTAGTTTCAGCCTCTTATTGGCCAATTCTCACATCTTGCTTTAACCCATATTTAGTAATCTGTGTAGCACCATGAGGTGGTGGCTGACCAGGAAAGATCCTAACCTGCGTCTGTCTCGGAGAGGAGAGTCATGGCAACTGCCTCACTGCCTTCTTCCTCCCAGCATCCTGTTCTGTCTACTCCGCCTACCTAATTTTCTGTCCTATCAAAGGCAGTTTCTTTATTAGCCAATGTAAGTAACTAACACATAGACAGATGACCCTCCTCCATCAAGAGGGCAATACTTCCTCTTTTCCTTTTTCTCAGTCCAGTACCCCAGACTTAAGAAAGGTGACACCTACCTTTAGGATGTATCTTCTCACCTCAGTTAGCCTAATCAACACAGCCCTCCCACACCTCAGAGACTACACAGTCCCCTGACACTCCTCAGAGACTACACAGCCCTCCCACACCTCAGAGAGTACACAGCCCTCCCACACCTAAGAGACTACACAGCTCTCACACTCCTCAGAGACTACACAGCCCTCACACACCTAAGAGACTACACAGCCCTCACACACCTCAGAGACTACACAGCCCTCAC